TTCACCACGACGGACCGGTACAGCGCCCGCTTCACGGCAGACGCTGCCCCAATCCGCCTGTCGATCTCCCGCTCACTTCTTCCCTCATTGGTGAAGAAGATCCCCAGATACTTAAACTCCTCCACTTGAGGCAGGACACCGCCCTGACCCGGAGAAGGCTCTCTACCCTTATCCAGCTCAGGGTTAGGGGTTTTGGCTATGGATCAGCAGACATTTCTACACTGCCAAAGAAGTATGAGGCCATCGTCCCCCACCCACAGACTATGGAGCCCATTAACTGTCAGTATGCTGAATTCAAGTACATAATGAAGCAAAAACCTAATCGGGTCAGTCAGCACTTTCTCAGATATGGAGGCTGCAGCACTTAGATGTGAGGAGCTACATTGGATCTGACAGCTCATGGATATTTGTGCCACATTTCAAACATCCAGTGCTGATTATGAAAGAGAATTTAGTTTAATGAATCATATCAAAACATGATCCAGAAATTGTCTTGAAGTGGCACATTTGGACCGGCTGATGTCAGTAAAGTCAAAGCAAGAAGCAGACGGAGCCATCAACCTAGACAGAGGGTTCAACCACTGGAGGATTGAGAAGGACAGACGTGAAAAAAACTGCGTAATTAAATATTTTACAAGAATTTATACTGTATCAAATGCTACAGCACATATTTCATTGTACAAAATGAGAATGTTTTAATGTGAACCAGAAGTTATGTCTGAAAGGTGTAGCGTCTCATTTCTGTTCTCATGAACAGAAATGATTCTTTTTTTTTCATTTGAAGTTATTGGGCAAATCACTTATACAAAAAGCAAACTAATGGAAATTGCTTATGTAATCTGACTCGTTTAATAAGCCATGCGCTATGATCCCAGATTTATAACAGGTGTGTGGCCGCAGCACCAACATGTGATGCTGCTCTCACTGGTCCTCCGTGTTCTCAGGGAGCCTGTGTGTTTGCAGAGATGCATCTAGAGGGAACATTGGGAACACATGAATATATGATGAGCGAGTCACATGACCGCGTTTCCTGCACCGAGAGTTCTGCTGCAGGAAACCATGCGACGGAAAATCCCTGCAGGAATGTTCAGAGGATTAAAGAAACTCACTGCTGGTTCCTGGCAGGAAACGCTGAGCCAGCTCTTTGTGCTGCATCCCTTCCTCCCTCTGCTCTTTGTGCTGCAGCTCTTCCTCTTCAGAACCATCCGTCTGGACGCGGCCAACTTCACACAGTGCGCGTCCCACGGCAGCTTCACTCACCGCTGGCAGGAAACGCTCTACAACATGTTCCACTTCGTCACGCTGTACGTCGTCCCACTGCTGCTGATGAGCTGCTGCTACAGCCGCATCCTGCTGCACATCAACCAGCAGCATCTGCAGCACAAAGGTACACCACCTGGAATACACCTGGTCCACATACCTGTACGATACCTGTGATCCACCTGCAGCACAACTAGATGGCAGGTGTAATCACTCTGAAACACACCTGTAATTGCGTTGGCAACACTTGTCAACAGAATGTACCTGACTTAGCCCCTCCCCCTGCCAGCAGGTGAGTCGTCCCTGCGGCGGAGCGGCACCGACCTCATCCCCAAGGCGAGGATGAAGACGCTGAAGATGACGGTGGTGATCGTCCTGTCCTTCATCGTGTGCTGGACGCCGTACTACCTGCTGGGGATCTGGTACTGGTTCCAGCCCGACATGCTGCGGGTCACACCTGAGTACGTCCACCACGCCCTGTTCGTGTTCGGGAACCTGAACACCTGCTGCGACCCCGTCATCTACGGCTTCTACACGCCGTCGTTCCGCGCCGACCTGGCCGCCTTCTGCCACCGGACGAGGAGCCACGCTTCGCCGCGCTCGCCGGACCGCCTGTCCGCCAGGCAGGGTCCGCACAGCGGCGAGGGCGAGGCGCCGCCTGGCCCCGCCCACCAGGCAAACCAGGCTGACCAATAACAGGCCAGAACTGAACCACGGGACGTTCTCTTCTTCTGTGGTTTGATTTTATGTTTGGAGGTTTCTCAGTTTGTCGCAGCAGCAGATTGAATCTCTGAATAAAATGTTTGTCTGATTCTGATTGGTCACAATATTTGAACTTTTATCCTGTGCTCTGATTGGCTGATAACCACAAGCCAGATACTTTTTTTTCTTTATTATTATCATCATCATATACAACAAATATGGTATCGGCATCAGATGTAAAGAAATCTAAAGAACTTGAAGAAGCCGACCCAGGCAGAAGAAACGAAGGAGCAAAGCAAAAGAACAACAACAAAAAACAAAACAGGGGTTTTCCATCAGTTCCAGATTGTTTGTCATATGATCCAGTTCTGCATCTTGATGTTTGTCCATGAATTTTAGAGATGAGAAGAGGTGGCAGAGTCCCTTGTGAAAAGTGGGGAAAGAAAACGACATTTTTTATTGAAAAACTTGCCCATAATAATGATTACATTTAATAACCTTTCAAATGTCTTTTCTTTTCTCATAATTCCAAAAACAACCTCTTTCTTAGAAAATTCAGGTAAGTTAGGACTTTTTGGGAAAAGCCAGTGGTGCACATCATCCCACAAAGTTTTACACATTCATATAAAGATGTTCAGTCGATTCAATGTCACAAAGTGAACAAGTTTTATCATCGACAGCAGATCGAAGTCTAAGGATTCCTTAGAGGGAAAAACACCTGAGAACATTTTGAAGTGGACTCCTTGGCTTTGGAGGAACGCGAAGATTTAAATCATTTGTTTGGATTTTTTCCCTTTGAGCCTTTGAAGAGAAATGTGATATAAAATTTGGATTTGATACAAAAGGAAACCAAGCACTAGTGAAGCATTCCCTAATTTTTGAGTTCTTTAGTTTATGACCTGTGACACTGGGCCCATTAGTCCAGGCAGATCCGGGTTCTGTAATCTGGGATCTCAGAAAAACATTTAGCTGTACATCAAATATTTGGGGGAATATCTCTAATAACTCTTTGAAATTCATTTTTATTTATTTGCAGGTTGTATTTAACACTGACGTCTTCAAAAGACATAAAACCTCCATTATTTAATAAATGCATCAGAGACCAAACACCTTGTTCTAACCAATTATGTGCAAAGATTGATTTATTATTATTTTTTATGTAACGGCAATTCCACAAAGGAGTGTTGTGTGGGCTGCAGTTATATTTATAGATTCATCTCCAATATAATAAAACTTGCTGGTGGAAGAAGGAAAGTTTCACAGGCAGTTTTTTAACGTCAAAGTCACATAAGGAAACTAACTCCGCCCAGATTAGAGAATATTTTACTTGGAATATGGAACCATAATTCATTTTGATTTGATAAAAAAGACCGAAGCCAGTTTATTTTTAAAGTGCTGTTAAAATCTATGGCCTGCAGTCGTCCATCTTCAAACTGTTTGATTAAATGACCTTTTCTGATAGTTTTCTGTTTCCATATAAGTCAAAATTCATCCTATTGATAGATTTGATTGCTGAATTGGGAATTCCTAAAGTATATGCAGGGTAGATAGGGTTAGGGTATATCAATGATTGCTTCAAGTGCCTACAGTTCCTTTGAGATGATCATGATCTGAATCGGCAAGATAGAACCAATATATGCCGTTCTGATTTATCGACCACCTGGTCCGGTTGCATCTTTTCTTTTAGACTTCTGGGATTTTTTATCTTCGACAGTCGAGCTAAATAGGATCTTAATATTCACATTGATGATCCTACAAATCGTTCTGCTATGGATTTTCTTAATACTGTATTATGGACTCAACTTCTTCCAGCATGTGTCTGAGCCTCACACTGCAGGTTTCACTTTAGACCTGGTTTTTACTTAAGTCTTAACGATCCAACTATAAAACATGTTGTTTTCAGTGACATTAGACTGACTGTTTTAATATGTCTTGTTATTTGGAGACTTCTTCTCAAGTTGCCAGCAAAGCAGACACTTTATTGACAATGTTGCAGTTGCAGAGTTTTCATCCCTCTTTTCCTTTACAGCACCTCCTGAGGATGATGATGTGGAGCTTCTATGACTCTTTTAACCTGTCATTCACGAGACAGGGGTGTCAAACTCCAGTCCTCAAGCGCCGCTGTCCTGCAACTTTTAGATGCGCCTCTGCTGCACCACACCTGAAAAGAATAATTAGGTCATTAGCAAGGCTCAGGAGAACCGATCTACATAGGGAGGAGGTAATTAAGCCATTTCATTCCACTGTTTTTTTACCTGTGGCACATCTAAACACTGCAGGACAGCGGCCCTTGAGGACTGGAGTTTGACACCCCTGTATTGTGAATGACAACCTGTGAACAACAGGTTAATGACCACTGCCTTGGCATCCTTGACAGTATTGCTCCTTACAAAAGCTGCTGTGGACCTGTTCATCACCGTTCACCACCTGTTCACCACCTGTTCACCACCTGTTCACCACCGTTCACCACCTGTTCACCACCGTTCACCACCGTTCATCACCTGTTCATCACCGTTCACCACCTGTTCATCACCTGTTCACCACCTGTTCATCACCGTTCACCACCTGTTCACCACCTGTTCACCACCGTTCACCACCGTTCACCACCTGTTCACCACCGTTCACCACCTGTTCACCACCGTTCATCACCGTTCATCACCGTTCACCACCGGTCAACACCTGTTCACCACCGTTCACCACCGAACACCACCAGGTCGCTACTGTTCACCAACCC